TAGATAACATTTACCCAGACCAACTTTTTAAACGTTACCGTTTTTAAAAAAACATGTGTTTTGTCTTTTCGTTATAATTTTCTTCAATCTCATTGAATTGCAAAAACATTGATAGATTCCTCGATGTTTTCTGTTTAAAAAAAAAAAGCATTGAATTTTTATCATTTTCACGGAAATTATGGGCAAATAAATATACGCTGGCTAACCTTTTAATGTTTACGGTTCTTTTTCTAGAGTATTTCTAGAATAAGATCATTTATAAAAAGATTCTGCAAATGATAGATTTTCTTCTTGCACGGAAAAAACGTTTGTTGGATTAATCAAGTTTTTGGTGAAATATGACCGAACCAGAGAACTCTGGTTACCAGAAGTTACCAGAATTCGCTGTTCAAATCAACTAGAAATCTTTGTTGAAATTTGAATCGAATTCTGCTAACTCCAACCGGAATTTCGGTCTTTGGTTCATATATCAGTAAAAATTTGCTTAATCCAAGCAATCTTTTTCTTCTGCATGGCTGCACGATTTTACGGTGTCGAAGTACCAACGGCGCGACGAAGACAAAACATATGTCGCGCGGGACAAAAGAACGCCGTCACATTGGTGACGTCGCGTCGATCAGCTCCTGGGAAAGCGTGTCGCCGGTGTTTCGCTATGTAAAGGATTAACTTTACCCCAAGCCATCATCGATCCTGCCTTTAGAGCTCGACGCCCTTGACTCCGTTCTTCCTCTCTTTTTGTTTCCTTTTCCCTTATCTTCTCGCGATCACAGCGCATGTTGACCGACGGTGTCGTACAATACACATCGCGACGACCGCAGGTTGCTTAGCACGGGGCTTAGACTACACGTCGATTGATTGAGGGTTCGATGGCGCGCCGATCGCGCCGCATGCTCGCCGTGCGTGCGATTACAAATTCCATCTGCGGATCGCGTATTCGTGGCTGCGAGCCGAATACGGCTTATTTATTCGTGTGTATCACGTAACGAATTGACATCACGTCGCGCGTCGACGGAGATCCGCCTCTCTCGAGCCGTTCCGCGGGGATTCCGCGATCGCGCGCGAGCCCATGACTTCCGGCCTATGTCCATCGCTCCCTCCCCCCCCCCCC